GTGGGCGCGCGTCATCTCGTGCACAGGCAGCCTGCGGTTGTGCACCATCCCCCACATGGGCGGCCGGCGGGCTTGCACCATCTCCCTGCACGGGCGGCCGCTGGCGTGTGCCATCTTCCACACAGATGGCTGGCGGGCGCGATCCATCTCCCGAGTGTCATCTCCCACACAGGCAGCTGGCAGGCACGCGTCATCTCGTGCATGGGCAGCAGGCGAGCACACATCATCCCCTAGTGCGGGCGGCCGGCGGGTGCATGCCATCTCCCCACCTGGGTGGCTGCCGGGCGAGTGCCATCTTCCACATGGATGGCAGGCGGGCACTAGCCATCTCCCGCGTGTCATCTCCCACACGGGCAGCTGGCGGTCGTGCTTCATCTCGCGCACGGGAGGCCAATGGCCACCCACTCCCCCTGCCACTGCCATCTTGGCTCCAAGAATTCTCCCCAGAACCAGTCCACTTTGCTGCAGTGTGGCGGCTCCACTGCACCAGTCCTAGGGAGGCCCGGTGCCCACTCTCCATCCTGGGTGAGGGATTCCATAGGTTCCGGCTGTGGGAACTTCATGGAGCTGCGGCTGTGGTGCGGTGCAGTGCAGGCTCTGTGGGAGGGGGTTGGGAGCTACGGCACTCACCCATTCTTGCTTGAGAATCCTTGAATTCCTGTTGTTGAGCCTCAGTCCTCACTGAAGACCAGTCATCAACTGTTTAACTGTTCAATTATCAATAAACAGAAGTCTGTAGAAGGCCATAGTGGTCCTGTTCCAAGTGGTCCGCTGCTCCCACAGCTCACCACGTTGTCTCTGCCTCTGCCGCCATCTTGAAGGCATACTTTTTAAAAAACTTGTTATGGTGATTTGTACTGACGTTTACAGAGCACATTGATTGTTCCATTCAAAAATTCATACACATTAGGTTGTGAGATTGCGTACAAGCCTACAGTGAACTCTCGCAGTGTACAGCGTTGTTCTCATTTGCCCCATGTTTGACTGTTTTCCTCTGTCCTTCTTCCTTGTCTGTTCTTACTTTCTGAGCTTCATTCCCTGGGCATACACTGCCCTGTGATCATATTGTTCTCTTGTGCTATGGAGTGGCTCCTCCCAGTATTTAATTATATCATCAATAAGACTTTGCTCTGTATTGCATCAGTCTATTAACCTTGGTTAATCACTCAGTGTGTGATTTCATGTGCGTTTAATGAGTCCTGGTGAAGGGTGTGCATTTCCCTGGTGATAATCTGTGTTTTGTGCAGTTTCCTAAGATCAGATATGCTCATGCTATACTTTCATCTTCCATGTCCTTGCCAGTTGCCAGTTACAGAGCCTTGTCAACAGTCCCCACTGGCTAGTGCCCTCGATTGTTTCCCCTTGTAGTTGCCAGTTTGGATAATATTTTACTAGAGGTATGAAAACTTGTCAGAGCAGACTCTTAGTTGACCCTCCACTGGGTTCCAAAGGCTGTAAATCATGTGGAAGGAGATTTTCCACTTCTCTCCTGCAGAACTGCTGGTGGATTTGAACCTCCAGAGGGGCACCTCCCTTGGGTTCACAGCATAGCTCTTTATGGACTCTCTCTCAGGAGTTCCTACAGAAGGATAACAAATTAGATTTATCCTTTCATTCATTCATTTAATCATTGAAATCTTGTTCTATGATGGATTGATTCTTTATCTTGAGGATTGTTTTGGCCCAGAGCCTGTGTTGTTGGTATTACGACCTTCTCTAAGGAAGTACTTGCCCAACATTGTTTTCCCTCTGGATTTAATCTTGAGGATTTAGATGAATCTTTGTCAACAGCACGTAGCTAGGTTTTCCTTTCATTCACTTTGAGTGGTGCTGTCTTTCACTGGAGTGTTTTGTTTATTTACCCTCTCTACAGTTACTTAATTATTTGCATTTATTTCTTTCATTCTACATTTGGCTCTGTGAGGTGATGCGTCTCTTTTACCTGGCCTTTCTCACATGGCCTTATAACTCCTCCCAAATGACTGGGTGGGATTATTCAAATGAGGGGCTTATTTGTGGTCCACCAAAGGGATTGGACAGCTTGTTAATAATGCAAATAAGAAAAAAAATAATGCAAATAAGGTGCATGGCATACTCGTGGCAGTGGGACCGTGCAAGTAAGGTGATATTATTGAGTGTCATAGAGTTGGAACCGACCCATAGCTGACCCTCCAGTAGGTTTTCAGAGGCTGTAAATTGCATGGGAGGAGACTGCTCAGCTGTTGGATTTGAACTGTGTGCCTTTAGGTTGACAGAACATCTCCTTATCACTAAGCTACCAGAGTTCCCTAATTAAGGTGAATGGAACCCGAATGAAGAGATTGGTCTAATTTTGTCATCCTGCTAGAATTGAAATGTACATCCCAGAGCTGGACAGTGAGACTTCATAACTACTAAGAAGAAGAGGCAAGAGCAGAGAGACCTGGGTTTCCTGTGCTGAGGACCACCTGGACCCAGAAGACAGGACAGTAACACTGGAGATAGGGAGAAGCAGTAGTAGCAGCAGTCAGGAGCCCAGCAGAAGATGCTGTGGTGAACTTTTTGGTTTAAGAAGGCAAAGCTGAGGGACTCCAGGTGGTGGACTTTCTGATTCACAAAGGAGAGAATTGAGGACCTTTAGGTAGTTAGTGGATTTCCCAGCTTGCAAAGAGAGCTGAGGGGCCTCCAGGTAGGAGGGACACCTTGCAGAGCTGGGATCATTGACTTACAGAGCTGGACAGCCAAGGGCCTTTAGAAGTAGGCTTACAGGCAGAGTAAGTGCCTTTGGGCACCTGCCAGTGGAGGTAAAGAGCACTGTAACTCTTGCCCAAGCAGGGCAGAGCCACGCCCACCCAAGAGGCTTGCCTGAGGGGCCAGGAGGCTGAGGTTCTCAGAGACACAGGCCAATGAGAGGTCTGCTTGATCTCAGAACTATATCCTGAGTTTCCTGATCTTGAGTTGCAACCTGGTGTTTCTCTATTAAATTGTGAATCTGATCATTTAGTTCTCTGTGACCACTGCAACAGTGGTCAAACCCATCCAAGGAGTAGAGAGTGCTATAGGGACAGCTGGTGTCAGAGTTGGTGGAAAGGCTGGGGAGGAAGCATGTCTTGACTGACGCTGATGGAGATTCTCTTACCTTACAGAGTTGGAGGGGGCTGGAACCCCTCCACACCAGTTCTACAGGCTTTCTATTTGCCTCCATGTCTTCTCTCTTTGTTTTTCTTCTTTCAGTTGTTTTCCCCCTCATCTCCTTCTTCTTACTCATCTGTATAGTTGGAGCTGATTCCCAGCTGACCTCCATGGAGTTTCAGAGCTGTAAACTGTATGGAAGGAAATTGCCTAGTGTTCTCCCTTTGAATTGTTGGTGGAGTCGAACCACCAGCAAGCTTCAACCTTTGGGTTTGCAGCACAGCTGTCTACAGACCACACCTGAAGGCTGCCCTTTGACCTCTTCTCCCCTTTACAAAACTAGGATGTTGTAACTGTCTCAGGCCATGCCCTTCCAGTGACTTTATAGACATGTGAAAACAAGACAATGAAAAAGGAAACTTGAAGGATAATTGGTGCGTTTGAGTAGTGAGTTGGGAAGAACACTCTCCCAAGGACTGGTCTTAAAGGAAGTAAGACCAGAATGAATGTTCCTTGGAGGCGAGGCTAGTGGTCAGACTTGCTTACTGTGGAGACAGCCAGGAAGCTAGGACAGACGTTGTACTTGTAAAGTGGGGCTCGTTGAGAATAAGGGAACCCTCCTTGATAGATTGACGTGGAGGCAGCCACCATGAGCTTGAATGTGACATGACTGCAACTATGATGCAACCAGAATTAAGGGCCTGAGCGTAACATGATGGGATGATGGCGCAGGAACTGGCTGGTGGTGTGCCGCATTGTTCGTAAGGGTGCCTTGACTCTGAGCTGTCTCAACCCTGACTTACACGCACCACGGTGCGTTCTTCTGTGTTTGCCCTGGAACTGCCACATGCGTGCCTGTCTCAGATGGTGTACAGTTAATGTCAGCCTCCATGCTAACAGAAGAGGACCAGCTGACCATTACAGGGCTAGCATTCCAACCCTGCTTGCGGTTTGAGTCCCAACCAGTGATGCTGATTGGAGCTTCCAGACTGACCAGACTGAGAAACAAAAAAAAAGTCTAGCAGCTAACTTCTGAAACAAGCCGAGGAAAACTCTAGATTGCAGCAGTTTAATTCACTGTGTGTGAGGTAGCTGGCTCCATGACAGCTGAAAAAACAGCCGGCTCTAACGCTGACAACAACAGGGCTGACCCTGATGGCTGACAACAACAGGACCAACTCTGACTGCTGCCACGGGCTGAACTGGATGGCTGACAACAACAGGGCCGGCCCTGACAGCTGACACAGGACTGACCCTGATAACTGACACAGGACCGACCCTGACGGCTGACGCAGGACCGACCCTGTGGCTGACACAGGATCCTTTAACTTTGATTTCCTTATGCCACAGGGGACAAGAGTCGTGTCTTGAGAAGGGATCATGGGGTGGAAAAGGGTCTTAGTATGAACAGTAGTGGTTTTTTTGTTTGTTTTTTATTTTTGAGTGGAATTTCAGGACCCCACGGTGTGGAGTGGTCTTCAGCCTGGGACTCTCAGGAAAGGATATGGGACAGGGGGAGAGGCTATGGAAGATGAGGACACGGGCAAGGTGCCCTGCAATTGCTTAATGGAGTCTGGAGAAGGGCTGCAGGCCAACGGAGTCTTGGTCACCCCAACTCCCCACAGGTCATTGTGCAGGGTCTAGAGAGGAGGTTGGGGTAGAGATTTGGCAAAGGGTGTTGGGACAGGGAATCTGGACAGAGGGTCAGGAGAGGGATTCCAGGCCAGCAGAATCTTGGCCACCCCAGCTATTATAGATAGGTCTCTGTGTGGGATTGGGAGGGGGATTGTGAGAGGGGAGTTGAGATAGCGCCTCAGGAGAGTGAGTCTGGGTCAGTGGAATCTGAACTGGTGAAGTCTCCACCAACCCCTCTGTCTGTATGCCCACAGGGGATGGCAACTTGCACCTGAACGTGGTGGCCGAGACCTTTAGCACCAGGATCCTGGGTGCTCTGGAGCCCTACGTGTACGAGTGGACTGCTGGCCAGCGAGGCAGCATCAGCGCTGAGCATGGGCTGGGCTTCCGCAAGCGGGATGTCATAGGCTATAGCAAGTCACCGGCTGCTGTGGAGCTTATGCGGGGCCTCAAGACCATGATGGACCCCAAGGGCATCCTGAACCCCTATAAGATGCTTCCCTCTAGAGCCTGAGGGCACTGGGTGGGGGGCTGGAGTGGGGGCCCAGGGCAGAGTTCTGGGAGTCCTGGGGTGCTGGAGTGGGGTCCTAGGACCCTGGGGGCTTAGGAAAGTATCCTGGTAATCCTGGGGTGTATGGGATGGGGTCCTCTCTGAGTCCTGAGGTGTACGACGTCATCCTCAAGTCCTAGGGATTGGCATAGAAACTGAGGGCACGTCTTACCCAGACTCTGTTGCTCCTCTCAGTCTTGATGGGAGCATGCATGGTGCTGTCCTCTGCACTGGCCTCTTGAGCTGTGTCCTCTGGTAGCTCTCTGGACTTGCTCGTCCTGGGAGAGATTTGGGAAGGTGGAGGTCTGTCCCTGCTTGGGTAGGACAGAGGATTGGAGCAATGTCCAGGGTCTTGTGCTTAACAGAACCCATGGTGGCCAACAGCTGGGCTTTCTCAGGGCCCCTGTGCTCCAGTGGAATTTCAGGGGCTCATGGACATCCAACCCTTCAACAAGTCTCCTTGGGGCTTTCCATGGGCTACACGGAGGAGTGGGGCACGAGCCAGCCTCATTCACCCTGGAGCACAGGTCATGCCTGTGGCTCCCCACACTGTGGCCTCCTGGCCTCCTTGGCGAGCACCTCTATGCTGTCTCCTGATGAAGACTTCTCAACAATGAGTGCAAGACTGCAGCAAAAGGAACTCCTTTAAGAACTGTTGGTGACGTAGTCCTGCGGTGGGTGAGGTGCTTTGCCACCTCTTGCTGCCACCTCTTGCTGCCATGTTGGCCACCCCCTGCCCGCCGTGTCGTCAACCTCCTGCCTGCTGTGCTGTCTCTGTGCCATGTGGGGAGCTGTAGGTGTGGCCTCATCTGCTGACGTGATTCTCAGAACAAGTGTTAGTTGCTGGACACTCCCTGTCGTGCTTCTGTGATCCTTTGGAACTGGGCTGCTTGGTTTGACTACACAGGGATTGTGGGGTGTCCATCCGCACCCTATGCCCACATTCCTCATGAAACACCCTCATTCCTGACATGGGGGACAGCCTGGCCCTTCTGACTCACAGATTATCTATGCCCCTACCAGAGACTTGCTGAAAGCCTAAGCCGTGAGTGCCAGAGCCCTAGAAGCGGAGGGCCTCTTGTATAAGCTGCTGGCTGGCAGGTCTGTGGTTTGAACCCACCGCAGCAATGTGGGAGAAACACGGGCAGTTGGCTTGGGTGGGGGTGTGACAGCCTCGGAGCCCTGACAGGGGGTCTCTGTGAGGAAAATTGACTTATGGCCATGGGCTTTGGAGTCCCTGTGTATGTGGCCCTGTCTGCAAACAGGATTTTCTGTTGTGTGGGAAGAGCTGTGGTGGTGGGGCGGGTTCTGAGTTAGGAGGAGCAGTGCAGAGAGCTGGTGGCACATGGAGACCGAGGCCGATGGAAGGAGAGACTCGGCCCCCAGAGACAGTGCCTTCTAAGCTGTGAAGAATACATTTGTTCAAGTCCCCACCCACTTGGAGTGTTTATGTTACAGCAGGCTTAAGGTAGGCCATGGTGGTCAGCATTGGTGACGAGCCTTAGCCTTGAGGGACACATCCAGGCCAAGTTCTGGGACTCAGGTTGCCTGCCTCACTCAGGAGAATGCAAGTAGCAGGTGGGCGGAAGGAGTGTAGAGGGAGTGGGGGTGTAGAGAGTGCGGGCCTCGGAGGTTGGGATGAGGGTGAAGGTAGTGTAGAGGGGGTGGGTCTGGGAGGTAGATGGGTAGGGTCTGGAGGAGTTGTAGAAGGTGTGATCCGTAGCGTTAGGATTGAGGGGTGGAGGGAGTGTATGGGTGGTGGACCTGGGAGGTAGGAGGATATGTGTAGGGCAAGTAGAAAGGATGGATCTGGGAGATAATGTGTGTGGGATGGAGGGAATGTAGAGGGTGTGGACCTTGGAGGTTGTAATAGGGGTTGGAGGTCTCCCGTATGAGTGAAGGAGAGTCCAGGGAGTTTCAGTTCTGGGCCTGGGAGAGTCCAGGGGGTCTCAGGTCTGGGTCTGGGAGAGGTCCAGGTTGTACTTGAGGGTAGCCTATCTGGGGACAACAGCCTGCTCTTCTGTGACTCAGATGGGTTGAAGTGAGGCGCCTCCTGTGTGTGTGGTCACTGGGGTCAGGGACAGTGCTCAGAAAACAAAATCTCTTGGGTCAGGACTGCACCCACACTGCCTGGCCGTGCACCTGAGTTGAGGTCCCAGGCTTTGGGTTGCGTGCAGACTGGCCAGTGCTTCCCTTGATGTAAAGACTGAGATCTGAAGACATTAGTCCAAAACCTCTCAGGAGACCTCAAAGCCTCTGCCCTGGAGCTTCTGCTCCTACCATTTGTGGCTTCTGAGGCTCAGTGCCTCCACCAAGTTCAAGGTCAGAGTTCTGTCACATCCCCACACTCATTCACTCTGCCCTGCCTACCCTTTCATAGGGCAGCTCCTTCTACAGTTTCCATTGGACAGGTCCCCTGAGGTCCCCTGTCACTTCCACAGAGCAGGTTCTACACCAGTTCTGTATAACAGATCCTCTATTACTTCCAGGAGCCGGCCTTTTCTCACTTTCACGAAACCGGTCCCCCCATCACTTCCATGTGGCAGGATTCCCCCTCATTTTGATGGAGCAGATCCCTCATCACTTCCACAGGGAATGTCCCTACCCCTTCCATAGTGCTGGACCCTGATACACCTCCACTGGGTCCATCTGCGATGTCCAGACTGCCTTCTTACATTAAGTTTCCTAGTCTGGACCCTTGATGTCTTTCCGCCAGGGAAATTTTCATTCATGGCTCCATCGTCAGGACCAGATGCTTTTGACTTTTAATCTGCCAGTTAGGTATCAACAGCACCAGATTCCTGTGGAAATGGAGTTGGGCCATTTCCTGTCCTTCGGAGTTACTCGGGTGTGTGAGTGACTATACCTGTGGTGTGTGCGTGTGTGTGAATGGATGAGTATGTGAGTGTGCATGCATGCCTGTGTGTAGGTGTCTGTGTTCATATGTCTGTGTGGGTCCTTGAGTTATATGTGCAGGTGAGTGTACAGGTCTAGTCTATCCGAATTCAGGAGGTTAACATTAGAAATGGCTGGGCAAGGAACCTTGATTCTCCCCAGTTGCTCTCCATCTCAAGGTAGTGTGGACCACCTGCCAGCCTGTAAGAGACTATGGGCTTATGGATGACGTTGATGTGGGGCAGAGAATGGCCAGTGAGGGTGCCTCACAGGCAGGCCTGGAATTGGAGATGTTTTGTTGTGGGTCTAGGCAAGGCCTCTAACTCCTCAGATGTGGGCCAGGCCATGCCCAGATGGAGCTGAGAAAGGGGCTATACCTGCCCTTGTTTGACCCCCAGTGACCCCCTCCCAAGTTTTCCCAAAACTCTCCATGGCACTTCCTTCAGGTCGGCCCAGGGCTCTACCCACAGCTCCTCTCTGCCTACAGTTTATCTCTGCCCACCGCTCCCCTCTGTCCACAGTTCCTTTCTGCCCATAGCTCTGCCTACAGCTACTTTTTGCCCACCGCTCCCCTCTGTCCACAGCTCTTCTCTGTCCACAGCTCCTCTCTGTCCACAGCTCCTCTCTGTCCACAGCTCCTCTGTGTCCACTTCTGCTGTCTGCCCACAGCTCTCTGCCTACAATGGGTTGTGCAGTGCAGGGGTGCAGACTTGGAGTGACAGGGAAAAGGGGATAGATAAGAGGTGATGGGGTCAGTGTGGGGTGTAGGAATGAAGACAAAGGATGGTGGGACAAGTGTGTGGTATGCAGGGGTGAGGCTTAGGGGCAGGGATGTTAACTTTCCTGGGTGCAGACATAGGGGTGATGCAGCTGGGGTGTAGATGTATGTAGCTGTCTGGGCACAGATATGTGGGGTTCTGTAGGTGTTATGCACATGGGCATTGGGTGCAATGGCATATGGTGCAGGGGTTGGGGTACAGAGTGTGTGTGCAAGATAGGGGCAGGGAGCATGGGTATGGGGTCCAGAGATGCAAATGATGTGGGCAGGGGTGTGGAGTCCAGAGGTGCAGACATAGCCGACATAGTTCATGGGTATGTAGATGTCTGGGCAGAAATGTGTGGGGTTCTGAAGGTGTTGTGCACAGAACATTGTGGTACAAATGTGTGTTATGCAGAGTTATTGCGATGAAGGGTGTGTGTGCAACATGGGAGTGATAAGAATTTGTGGTACATGAGTTTGAGGGCACAGAGATATGGGGCTCAGTGTTTTGCACACAAAGGTATTGGGGTGCAAGTGTATGTGGTGCAGGGCTGTGGACAAAGGAGTTTGGGGTACAGGGGTGTGGGGTACATGGTTGTAAGGGCACAGGGATGTAGAGATATGAGGTGTACACAGGAGTATGGGGTGCAAGGTGATGGGTGCAAACGTTTTGGATGACTGAAGGTTGTCTGGGCAGTGGTAGCTGCTGCTCAGTGGGGTTCTTCTGGATGTGGGGGGACAACTACCCATGTCATCTAAGCAAGCTAATCAAGGTTAATGAAGAGGAAGTTTGTGAATACAGCCCCTCCTGACCAAGACTCTTGCCTAGTCATAACCACCTGCCCCCTCTTTCCTAAGCTTGGGCTTCCCTTTGGACCTCCTGAATGTAGTTAAATCCCCCTGATTGTGAAGGCTGGGGGATCAAAGCCAGATGTGACCCCCTGTGTGGTCCCAGCCCCAGGCTCCTGATGGGTGGCCAGCTTTGGGGAAGGGATATGTAGGGACGTGGTCTGCAATCCCCAGCTCACACCCATGGGACCCAAGGTCACACACCCCACAGGACGCACAGCTCACACGACACAACTCTCATAGGGCACAGGTCAGTGGGTGCGGAGGACAGGAGGAGCTGAGGGCCCAGGGACAGCCCCCCTTCCAACCCCCTCTGCTGGTGGGAATAGGCCCATTTCCTCATCTGATGCCTGGGATCGTGACTATGTTTGGAAGTTGTCAGTGCTGTGGAGTCGGTCCTGACGCTAGTGAGCCTGTGTCTTTGGGAGATGTTGCCCAGGCCTTCACTCTCCTCACCTCCCTGACCCACCTCCATACCCCTGCGACCCCACCTCCCCAGGTGCCCATGCTCCCACATCTCTACCTCCCCAAGTCCCTGTGGCCTTCTGGCCCTTGCCCCCTGCTGCTCCCACTGCCCGCCACATCCACTGCTCTGTCTGAGCCCACTGTTGCAGCCATCATGCCTCAACTTCTAGTTGAAGCTCTCAGTGTGACTCCAGTCATGGTGAGTCGGGTAGGTCCTGATCCTTCCAAGAGGAAAAATAGGCAAAGATAGTGGGCTGTGGCACTTTAGGCCAAGGAATACCAGCAGCTGGACAGATAAGAAGGACCCTCCCCTGAAGTCGTCAGAGGGAGCCCTGACCTGCTGATCCCTGCTGACCCTGCATCCAGTCTGCCAGCCCTCAGAATAGCCAGCGGACATGCATCTGCGCCTGTAACCCTGTGTGGGGTTTGTTATATAGTCCTGGGATGCAGTTGAGACAGAGTCAGAGGTCTCAGCACCCATGTGGTGTGCTCAGGCCCTGGGCCTGCTGGCACCAGCTTCCTAGGACAGCTTACCGGCTGGGCTGGGCCTCCCCTCAGTGTCCCCTTCTGGGGTCCTCAGATGGAGGATGTTTCTGGAGTCACAGTGGATGCTGGGCTGCAAGTGGAAAGTCAAGGTGAAGAGGAAGTGTTTTCTGCTGACACAGCTGGTGCTCCCCACTTGCAGCAAGGAATGCAGAAGGTGTAGGAGGGCCTGAGAGGGCTGAGGAGGCAGCGCCGGCTAGCACGCCCCACCCACACCCGACGCCCAGCACGTTGAGGCCACCCCTTGTGCTTTGGCATTTGATCAGGGGACCTCGGGTCCACCCAAGAAGTGATGCCAGCAAGGCTGGACTCATAATGCCATTAGGCCACCGGTGAGGCTAGCAGGATGTAGCTGACCAGGGCTGTGACACCTGCAGGGCTGTGGGCTCCTCACTGGGCAGGACTGTGTACTGGCTGCCCACCCACAATGTCCTGGACTGGACCTGCATGCAGACTGTGACACCTGGACACCTCTGCTTGGGCACAGCGTCCCTCATGGTGGAGTCCATGCTGCCCAGGTACTGGCCATGCCCCTGTTGGCTGTGACATGCCTGTCTAGGTCTGTGCTCACTGGTACTACCTGTAAGATCTCTGCTGTCACAGAGGTTTGCTGGGCCAGGTTCTGCCGGGTGCCTGAGAAGTGGGGGGAAATCCAGATTGGTTCCCTTCAGCTGTGGATGGGAGGAGGTGAGCTTTGCAGGGGTTTTGAGATGGGCTGTAGGTGAGGTGGGACAGGGAAGGGGATGAGGTGGCCCTGGATTCTCCCTGTGAGGCCACAGTGACCTAGCCAGACCCTGGTTCCCGGCATGAAGGAGGTGAGTAGGGGACCAGAGTGAGCTCCTGGTTGAGATAAATGACAGCAGGCTTTATCTACTGGCATGTCTGCCTATCGTCATACCTTTCACGTCTGTCACTGTCCCCAGCAAGATCTAGCATCATCGCCAGCAGGTCCTGCTTGTCACTGTCCACCGTGCCATGTGACCAGGCCCTGAGGAGCAGGAGAGAGCAGCTTCCTCCATCAGTCTTGTTGGGACAGTGCCAGCTTCGTCCCCTCCCCCCAAGTAGAGTCATATGCAGGGTCAGGGCTGATAACCCACATGAGACCCCACTGACCCACAGATGTACAGGGAGGAAGTGGACTGTGGTGCTTGAACATGTGTGGCCTGAGGCTGCCCAGGCCCTACCTGTGGCCTCCGAGAGATGGGCTGCTTGATGGAGAGTGGAACCATAACACTGAGCTCCAAAGTCTCTATGAGCCCTGGACATCACAGAGGGAGGCAGAGTGGCCCAGGGGCAAAGGATGGACCTGGGCCCTGGATAGTCCCTGAGAGAAAGAGGCAGCGTGGCCCAGGGGTGAGGATGAGCCTAGGCCCTGGACAGAGAGAGTCAGGCAGCATGGCCCTGGGATGAAGATGGACTTGGGCCCTGGACAGTCCCCGAGAGAGGGAGGCAACATAGCCCAGGGACAAGGATGGGCCTGCACCATGGGGAATCCTTGAGAGAGGCAGGCAGTGTGGTCCAGGGGTGGGGATGGACCTGGTCCCTGGACAGCTCCTAAGAGAGGGTATAACATGGTCCAGGGAAAAGATGGGTCATGGAGATTCTCTGAAAGAGGCAGGCAGCATAGTCCGGGGTGAAGATGGACTTTGGGTCCTGGACAGCCACTGAGAGAGGGATGCAGTGTGATTGAGGGATGAGGATGGACCTGGGCCCTGGGCAGCCTTAGGGCTTCTGTGTTCCCCTGAGATCCCATCCCTGACCTCCAGGGTCAGCAGGAAAGTGTGCCATGAAAACTCTTGGGTCCAGCACGTCCCCCAACCTTGGAGAGTGGCCTCTGCTTTCTCTAGTTGCCCCTCCATGCCTGGGTGCAGGAGTGGGTGGGGTCCATGTAAGGTACAACACACCTCTGGGACATGAGCAGGGCCACAGTAGGTCCAGACCCTACTCCAAGTTTTGGAAAAGAACATTCTGGCTCCTGAGTTTGTAAATGCAGAAGGGACCCTTCTGGGGGTGCAGAGCTGGCTGTCGCCCCAACCAGAGGCCAGCACGGATGAGGATGAGAGATAGGTGAGGACAAGCATTCTGCTAAGGGTCCGACACTGAGGAGGTGGATGAGGAAGGGTCAACACGGGGCTGTGGCCTGACTCCTGAGGCCCTGCCCTGGCCTGGGCCTTACTCCTCTCTGCCGCTTTGGTGAAGATTGGGTGCATCTTGTCCTGTCCTGTGAGCTTGTGACCAGTCCTGGGAAGAGGGACGTTCTGTGAGCACTGGCATGAGGCTTGAGGCTGAGAAGTGGTGAGGACAGATGTGGTCATGTGCAATAGTCAGAGCTATGTTTCTTGGGTTTGGGTCCTAGGTCTTGCACGGATGGACATGGTTGTTTGTAAACAGGGTGCAGACTTCCTCACCTCAGTGTCTGACTGAGGTGACCCACACATGCTGGGACCACATCACTGCGACCCGCAGGGTTCTAATGGACGGCATGGTCACCAGATCCTCTTTCTAGTCCCCTTCAGGCTGCAAGCTCCCCGAGACTAGCTCAGCATCCCAAGCCCCCACTGACCACAGGTGGAGTCTCTCTATGTCCAGTGCAGTGGCCAAGAATTGAACTTAGGTCTCCTACACACAAGGGAAAGATTCCACTGCTGCAGCACCAGGGTCTCATTCTGGACAGGGTGGGCCCTTGTCCAATTTCAGGCTTCCTTACACGAGAAGAGAGTGATGGAGGGGAGATGACTGTGAATGGAGTGCAGTGACCACAATCCTGGGCCATGACATTCATCACCAAGGGACAGCCCACCCACCACATGTCCATCACTGAGGAATAGCATACCCATCCCATGTCCATCATTAGGGGACAGCACACTCACCCCATGTCTATCACCACCCCACATCCACCACCTACCCCACATCCATCGCTGGGGGCCACACTTCCTCCCCACATCCATCACCCACACTGTGTCCATTATTTATCTCATGTCCATCACCTAGGGACAGCACATCCAACCCATGTCCATCACTGGGGTCATCTCACCCACCCCACATCCATCAGTGAGGACAGTACACTTAACTCTAAGTCCATCACCCACCCCATGTCCATCACCAGAAGAAAGCACACCCACCCTATGTCCATCACCAGGGAACAGCATGCCCACCCCATGTCCGTCATCAGAGGAGAGCACACCCCCCCCTCGTCCATCACTGAGGATAGCACATCCCCACCATATCCATAGCTGGGAACAGTGAGCCCACCCCCTGTCCATCACTGTTGATAGTGTGCCCATCCCACATCTATCACCAGTGGGAACAGTGTGCCCACCTGACGGCAGTTGCCACGGGAAGGTGGGGGGTTGGGCAACACCATCAGATTACGTGTGTGCTCCTTGGTTCAAGGCTTTGCTGGTTTGGGAGAGGATGCTCCCCATTTGGGATACCACAGAAGGAAAGAGGTCAACATTGGGAACAGAGGTGACAGCTTGTCCCCCGGTGGCTCCTTCCTCACAGCCCTGCAGGGACATCTCGCCCTGTGAACAACACCTACCAACCATTAAAGACATCCCCTGTCCATCCCGCCTTGGAGCCTTGCATCTTTATTCCTGGAAGGAGGAAATGCCTCCTTGCCCAGGTCTCTGCAGATACTAGGACTGCTTTCTCCTTCCACATTCTCTTCCAAATCTTCAAAACAGCTACTTAAATTTTCTTTTGGCACAAAACAAACATTGACAAAGATGGGAGAAAGGAAAAGCCGGACCGCACTTGTGCTGGCCCGTTCTTCCTTCCTCTCTCTTCACAATGGCTGGACTTCAGACTTTATTGATGCAGACAGGGGCCAGCATGCTTGCTGGTGAGCTGGCCTTTGTCAAGGCTCCCTGAGCCTGCTGCCCAGGGATAGCTTCCCAAGGTCACGCTGAGGAGTGAGCTGACCCTGCTGCTGGAGTGGGCAGAAGCCAGAGGCCCCCATCTCGTACCTGTGAGGGTCTCTGCCCATGATCCTGCAGCTGCAGCCAGTCAAGGAAGTGGCTGGAGAGCAAGGTCAAGGTTTGGGCTACTGCCTCACCTAGCTGGGACTAAGAAGGCTTGGGTTTTCCTGGGGAGGGAATGGTTAAACTGCACTTGGGGTTAAGCGAGGGAGTGGCCTCCCACCTGAGCTGGCAGGTGAGCGTCTTTGGGTAGACAGGTTGTCTATACAGTTGATCTTGATCGTGCCCTGGGTGGTACTGCACCTGGGCAACCAGACTCCCCAGGACCTGCAGCCTGGGGTGGGGGCTGGACATCTGACCTTGATCTCCTGGAGCCGGCCAAAGCTGCTGTCCAGGCCAGCATGCTGTCAGGGGCCAGTGGCTGGCAGAGGTGAGGTGTGGAGCTGGGGGCCTGCTCAGCGCGAGTGGACAGTTTACACTGTCAGGTAGTCTGAGAGATGTGGAAGAAGTGCTGTGTGATTGTCTGCAGTATACAGCCTTAAGACGTGGGAGCCATTTCCCACTAATCCTCCTCAGAATCCAGCCTCCCCTGGCTCCGTCTCCGAATGTTAACTCTTGCCAGGATGGGGTTGGGGTGCGGATTCTCTGGAGTCAGGAATGTGTCCTGCTATGTGAGGCCTATGTCCCTCCATGCATCAGACTGTGTCCCTGTGTGCAGGGGCTGTGCCTCTGTGTGTGTGTAAGCTGTGGCCCTCAAGGTGTGTCCTCTGACAGGGGACAGCTGTGTGGCTCAGGTGCACAGTGAAGGATGGGCTGGTGGGATTTCTGGTGAATCCTGTGTCCTGCCCTCTGACCAGTTCTGTGGAGATGCTGCCTCAGAGCTGAGTCCCCGGGTCAGTCACCCTACACTCCTGCTTGTGGAGTCCAGCTGCAGTGTGTGTGGGATGTTAGGACACTCTGGGCACCAGGGGAAAGGGTCCTGTTCTTGGATAACCAGCTTACCTCCCTGTCAGTGGTCTCTGTTGCCACATGCGCAGAGGTGCCCACCTGGTGCCAGTCTCCCCTGAGGGTACATAAGCTTTTATATTTGTTGAAGGAGGAGGTTTGGATTTCTGTGGCCTGGTTTCCTGGTGGTTTGGGAAAGTTCCCCCAGATTTCCCAGTGTGACTTGGAAGCCAGATGTCTACAGACCTGGCCCAGATGAGGGGTGGAAGTAAGAGCTTTTCGTGAGGATGAACCACACTGTGGACACTGTTTGTAAAGACAAGGTCCGGGGTCCCTTTGCTAGTCTGGACCCCTGATGGTCAGCCAGTGCTCTTGGTGATGACTGGGCAGCTGGCCTGGAGGGTGTGTAGCTTGTGGCTGAGAGTCAGGATGGGGTCTTGGGTGCCCATGAATGCCAGATGCTCGTTTGGATTCCTGTGGGGTCTGTCTCTGCCTCTTCTGATCCCAGGTCAGGTAGTCAGGCTGCTCCGGCACCTCGTCCTTCACTATTGGGGGGGTGGGGCTCAGGGCAAAGCCCTTCCGCTGAGTCACTGTCCTTTCTGCTCCCTCCCCACACTGTGACCTGCATGACATCTACTGTTTGTCCTTTCCGAGTCATGCAAACACTGGAACGCTCATCTCGCTGGCCAGCACACTTGGCTAGGGGAGTGGACACAGAAAGGGGGCCAGGGCAGGGTCCTAGAGAGACCCGAGTGGTAGTGGGGTCAGTGCACAGCCCCCCCCGCTGAAGTTGCCAGTCCTGATGTCTACTCAGCCAGTACCACCTTGGATACATTGTGCTGACAGTTTAACGGGTGCTCAGTGGGCCCCATGGCTGGACTGTGGGTCCTGGCCATAGCACCCCAGGTTTCAAGAACCTGCATTTCCGGTTGAACAAGGCTCAACTCACGTTCAGGGAAGAAATGTCCCCTGAAGCTTGAGCTGTGGAGCCACACCAGGTGACAGCCTGGGTGTGTCCAGCTGTTCCTCAGTGAGGCCGAGTAGCCCTGCTTCCACACTTGGGGACCGCAGTATCTAACTGCACTGTGATGGCCACAGGCTGGCTGGCTGGCTGGCTCAGGGAAGGCGCTGTTGGGGACATACCTGGAGTTGGATGGGAGCCACGCACCACACTGGACCATATTAGGCCAGTCTTCCTCAGGCAGCCTGTTTAGGGACCAACAAGGCCGTCAGGGCACCATGCTTGGAAAGACTGCTGGTCTGATCCAAGATAGTGTTTCCAACCAGTCAGGGTCACCCAGTCTGTGTGGAGTACAGGACCCCAAACTGGGGCTGATGCCCAAGTAGGGCAGTGGCCAGAGGCTGACTGGCCAGGCTGGGTTAGAACAGGGATGCCATGCTTGGCTCTGAGGAGACAGGGGAAGGGATCAGACTGGTCCATTCCCTAGGAAGGGTGACACCATGGACTTTAGCACTGGTGACCTTAACCCTAGTGACATCACTGGACAGAGGCCTTGGAGGGGCTGTGTGAGCTGAGGAGACTACAGGGGTGACTGGGCCTCCAGCAGAAGGACCACATTGCTAAACCCAGGGATTGAGAGCAGTGTCAGTAGGACCTACCAATGTCAAAGGAGCTGGCTCCAAGGCAGTCAGGCTCACTCAGCCTATCCTAGCCCTTGGCCCAGTAAACCCTGAGGTGATCCACAGAAGGGGCAGGATCTAGGATGGGTGGCTAGAAGGGGGGCATCAGGTTATGGCTGTGATGAGGGCCTGTGATGGGAGCAGTGTCACTGGTAGCCAGAGGTTCTAGGCAGTTGGGTCAAGACAGAGCAGTGGGGGACACTTGGTGGCAGGGGGCTCACTATAAGCCTGAGGAGGGTGTGAGATGGGCCTGGACCCCATGGGACGGATTTTGGTGCCAGGCAGCTTCCCTGGTAAACACAGGGCTCCTCTGTGCAGAGTGGACACAGCTGGCTGTGCATCTGAAGCTGAGGACACCAGTGGGCCATAAGTGTGGACCAGCATGCGCCTCCAGGGAGGAAGCTAGCCTCTAGAGCAGTGTGAGTCTGTAAGAGTGGCCAGTGGGCCGAGGGCCAGTGTCCTGGATGGTGGCCACCCAGTGCCCCCTCTCTGTTCTTAAGCACTATCTCTCTTCTGTTCTCTGTTGTGAAGGGTGGTCAAGCTGGTTCCAACTCAGGGATCTAACACAGCAGCAGGAGACCCTGCCTGGCCATGTGCTGCCCTGACAACCATTCATTGCTGCAGCCATTGTGCTAGCCCACCTAAATGAGGGTCTTCACCAACCCTCTCCCAGGCATGGTGCTCTGCTGCAGAGACGGTTCCTTCTGACAGCCTGCTCAAAGTATGTGAGGTGAAGTCCTACCTCCTCCTTAGGAACTTTCTGGCTACGCCTCAGGAGAGAATTGTTTGTTCTTTTGGCAGTCCATAGTCTATTTCATATTCGTCCCCAACACAATTTTAAAGTATCAGCTTTCCTTGGGTGTCTTTACTCATTGTCCGGCTGTCACATGTGTAGGAGGAGATTGAGAATACCATAGGTTGGGCCAGGTGCCCCAAGGTCCTCAAAGTGACACCTTTCAGTGCTTTACAAGGCAGCAGCTTGCCTAGTGCAAAATGACCTTTGATTTATTATATTCCCCACCCCTCAATTTTCAGACAAGTTTTATTTCTATATAATTCCAACATTGCTTTTTTAATTTAAGGTACACAAGGGAACATGATTCTTTTATAATGAAACGATAACTGTGCCCCAGTCTTGACTACATGGAAAATATAACATCATTGCTGTTGGGCAGAGGCCACTGAGAGCCCAGTCAGGACAGGTGCAGGGATAGGCTGCAGCCGGTCTTCCTTCTTCTGGTGTCCTGGTCAGTACACCTGGTCTCTGGTGTATGCACACACCCCCCTTAGCCTGTCCCCTCCCACTAGGAGCTTGTACCTACCAAGCAAGAGAGGTGATGCCCCTGATACGTTAGCTGGGAGTGGCCCTGGAGTGGGACCCTGCACCCTACCGTAGTGACAGCTGTGCCTGGAACGGACCACTGGAACTTTCCCGGCTGCTGGGGCCACCCTCTGAGCAGCGACACAGTGACAGGGTGTGTGTGTGTTCCTTCTGTGACCACTGCTTTTCCTAGCAAACACCCCAAAGCACCTTTGATTTCTTGATTGTTGCTTCTATGGGTGCAGATCATACATCCATGTAAAAGGAAATCTTTGACAACTTCAGTGTTTTCTCCATTTATCATGATGTTGTTTATTGGTTGAGTTGTGAAAATTTTTTTAAATGTGGAGATGTAATCCGTACTGCAGGTTGTAGTTTTACATTAATAAACTACTTCAAGTCCTCATCTCTCTTGGCAAGAAAGCTTTGTGTCTTATGTGTATCAGTGTCTGCCAAGCCTTCTTCAGCTTTGGTGCTGAGTCCTTCATGCAGTGCAGCTGCTCCTATTCTTTGCTCAGAACACACACCAAGTAATCCACACAGTCGTGCTTTTCCATTGTCAATAAAGCACAAGTAGACTTTCTTCTGGTATTCCTTACTTTCATCCAGGATCCATCTAACATGACCAGTGCTATCCCTGGTGCCATGGTTTCTTTTAAATCCTGCTAGACTTTCTGGCAGTTCCCTATCTATGCACTGTTCTAGCCGTTTTTGAATGGTCTTCAGTAGTATTATACTTGCATGTGATATTAATGATACTGTTTGATAGTTTCCACTTTCTTTTTTTTTTTAATTTAGGTTGTATTTTTCATTTTTTTTAAAAATTTAGGTTGTATT